AGGTTTTGAGGGATATGGGTCAAGACTAGGAAGATGGGACTATGTTCAGCATAGAGTGGTTGGATTGAAGGGTCTGTTTCCATGCTGTTTGACTCTATGATTTCTATGAGCCCTCTCCAATTTAATAATATCCTTCCAATTGCAGAGCATCTAAGATTGTACACAGTACTCCAAAAGTGGCCTCACCAACGTCCTGTACAATCTCAATGTGATGTCCCAACTCCTATACTCAATGGTCCGAGGAATGAAGGCAAGCGTGCTAAATGCTTTAAGCTCCCTGTCTAGCTGTGATGCAAATTTCAAAGAACTATGTACCCAAACCCCTAGGTCTCTTTTTGATAACACTCCCCAGGGCCCTATCATTAATTGTACAAGCCCTGCCCTTGCTTATTTTACCAAAATGCAACATTTCCCATTTATCTAACTCCACCTGCTATTGCTCAACCCATTGACCCAATTGGTCAAGATCCCTTTGTACTCTTAGATATTCTTCTTCACTGTCCACAATGGCACAAATGTTGGTGTAATCTGAAAACTTACCAACTATGCCTCCTAATTCTCATCCAAATCACGTATGTAAACGACAAACAGCAGTGGACCCAGCACCAATCCCTGCGGAACACCACTGGTCACAGGCAAATACCTCACTTTGCAAATGAATGCAACAGTTCAAGACAGCAACTCAGAGCCACCTTCAGGAGCTTTTAGACAATAAGCACTAGCGTCAGTCATCACAAGAGCGAATAGGTAAAAAAGGCCAGCCACCTCTTTGCTGTATTAAACTGACCAGACAGTTCCTGTTTTAGAAGGAATTTAACTACTTAATTTTCTTGTTTTTTTTTCCCCTCTTGGGAATATCCTGGAGAGCATTTCAACTTCTAACCAGAGTTATCAGTGCCAGCCTGGAGTGCTGATATTCCATCGTGGATTCGGTCAATGCTCTGCAGTTACCCCTCACTCTACATCCCACCACCCACACCAATATTCCCGAAAAAGGGACCTGACCAATTTCCTCCACTTTATTTTTTAAAAATGTAAAAACAGGTTAAAAGAAAGCTGTCTAGACTAAAAATTGCAACTGCAGCTGGTGAAGCACAGATGCAGGGGTAATATCGCTGGGCTGGTAATCCAGAAACCCAGGTTAATGCTCTGGGGACATGGGTTCAAACACCACCATGGCAAATTGCCAAATTGCCAAATTTGCATCCAATTAATCAAATCTGGCATTAATCACCATTAATGATGACCATGGAAACCATTGTCAATGGGCACAAAAACAGAACCCCACCTGGTCCATGAATGTCCTCTGGGGAAGGAAATAAGAGCAGGGGCAGGCCATTCAGCCCCACCATTCATTAAGATCATGTTTCATCTGTGGCCTAACTCCATCAACCTGCCTTTGGTCCACATCCCTTAATACATTAGGTACATTTTTGTTAAGCAATCTCACATTTAAAATTAACAACTGAAAATCTGCCATCCTTACTTGGTCTGGTCTACATGTGACTCCAGACCCACAGCAACATATATTTGCCCGTTAGCCACACTTTGAAATGGCTGAGCAAGACACTCTGTTCAGGGGACAGTTAGGGATGAGTAACAAACACTGGCCTTGCCAGTGACACCCACATCCCATGAAAGATTAGGGAGAGGTGAGCAAATCTGAAACAGGGCTTCAGAATGGGTACAGGACTGTTTGTAAGCAAGGGCAAGGGCTCGGGAGATTGAGAAGAAATGGTGATGTACACTGCAGCACAGATATTCAGGAGAATTTCTGTCCAACTGAAGGAAGTAACTCAATCACTTCTCACTCCCACAGCGTATTAGGGCAAGAGGGGAGGCTGTTGGATGACACCAGTCTGAGACCACACATCACAATGAAACAGCACTAAGCACACACCAGGCCAATGACCATTGCGACAAGTTGACAACACCCATTATCCTCAAATCTTTGTATCCAATAACTTGTACCCTCATAAACAAAACCTCAACATCAAGGAGCAGAGAAATTGCCACAAACAGCAGCAAAGACCAAAGGTCAGATCTACCAGCTGTCACCCCCAATAAATGAAAAGTTGGTTGATTAGACACACATTTACAACACAAGAAAACCACCAGTGTAGTAGCTACCTCCCCGGTCCCTGCATTCACCTGTGACTCCAGCTGAAGAACCACAAGTAAACCCCAGGTCTTCCAACATTCGCACTGCCTCTAATGTTAGGGTGCCCAAGTGGCTGCAGTTTCTCTACCCACCCACACTGCCACTATCACAGTGAAAACTTTACCCCATTACCATCCTCCTCTCCCTCCATACTACCATTACCAACGCAGTTATGTTTCAAATGGATGTAAGGAAGTCTGATTGCAGTCAGGATCCACAACCCTGGAACAGAGAGCCCCAAGGGGAGAGAGATAACTTCTCTACAGTCAAATCAAAATCAGTTTGAACCTCAGGGATCCAGCCTCCAACTTCCCAGCATTGTAGGTCAGAGACACTGTCACTGGGACCAGGAGGGAAATGAAAGGGGACAACAAGATGCAGGGCTGGATGAACACAGCAGACCAAGCAGCATCATAGGAGCAGAAAGGCTCAGCTTTCAAACTAAACAAAGGCTGTTTATCGGGAAGCCTCCATTTACCTGACAGATTATTACTTTCCATTTTCAGACAGGAATCGGGTTCTTCATTACATTCAGCAGCTTTCATTTTTATTTAACATTATTAAAAAAAAAAGCTAACAACTCTCAATTTCAGATACACAT